CTGGTACGTTTTATATTTTGAGGAAGCGTGTGGAAATGTTTGCATAATTAAACATCAAAAGTAAGGAATACAAAACAATATCACGTTCCCGCAGGGCAATTTAATCGAACATTAATCATCCGGTAATTTGTTCACGTGTCACGCTATTTGTTGAAACTTTGTTCACTGTCATTATTATTCAAAAGTCTTATCCTGTTTTCAAAATCGCACTAGTGTTGAGTGATATAATATTTTGGAGTTGCCGTTGGATAGTGCAATGTTTTAGTTCACAGTCGGCCTCATTTACAATGCGATCCACTTATTAGCGGGTGTATGCCACGATGCGATTACATAATCGTCGCACGCTTCTTTCAGTAATTCCTCTATGGTCGGATATTGAGGGCCAACCGGCATCCCGCCGTGAGAAGTCCCTTGTTTGGCAAGAAAACTCATATACTCAATCTCAACATTTTTTGCTATCTCAATTTCAATTAGCAAGGCCACAAAACGGTTAGCGTGGCTTAGTTCTGGAATATAATAACGTCACATACGAAACAGAGCTGACTGGTAAAGTTGTAGTATGTGCTTTGCTGGGCTCGCCACTGAAAATGTGCAAATAACCGAAAAAGCCCTCTAGCGAATCAATAAAATGAAACGTCCCAAATTGAAAGTAGGATTTTGATTTCCGTCGTTCATTGCAGAATCCTATTGTTGAAAACTAAATGTCGCCACCGCAGGTGTAACTTCGAAAACCACTGCTAGAATCTAAATTGTGATTACATACCACAAATTCATAAAATTACGTCAAAAACCAAAATGTTAGATTCCAGAAAATATTAGAAATTTACTTGACCGTCATTAGCCACGGACCCAACATAGATTGTTATTGTTCAAACATCTGTATATCGCCTTTCATTTTTGACCACGCAATAAGCTTGCTTGTTTCAACTTTTGGGCTTAGTCGCTGTGCGCGTAATATCCAACAATGTTACTGTTATTGCAACACAACGCCGCGCCAGAATTGCAGTGCGATTATCCGTGTTTTTTCGAGA